TGTTCCAAGCTTGGATTATCTTATCTGAGGATAAAATCGGTTCGATTACAGTTTCACAGTACTTATCTAATAGCCACAGTCAAAATTACTGAAAGGTTCAATTTCGTTGGTAAGTTTATTGCTAAGGCTATTGTCGAGTTCAACACAATTAATCATTTTATTTGTCTTTTTTATGTTGAGACTTACTGATTTATCGAAAGCTTGACCTATCAGGATTTTTACATTTTCTTTACTCACAAACTCGCTTGGAACTTGAAGCCATGAAAAGCAATGTCAGGTAAGATCGTCTTGTATTTGGTCATTCATTCTCAAGTTTATTTCTACTTTACGTCTAATTCAATTTTATTGATTTTTAGTAAAATCATCAGCTGCAATGACATTAGCTTCGGATGCATTGGAATAACGCTTGATCAGCCTTTGCCTGAGCAAAATGAAGATACATCAAACGCTGTTATATACAACAATTTGGATAAAGTATTGTATAAACTTGTTCAAGAGCCATCATTAAGAGAACTGAAAATGTCATACAAACATCTAAATCAAACAACGCTTTCCAGTGCTGAACTAAACTTTGACCTACATCCAATCGAATCAAATGATAGCCATTCACCAATTGATTCTGATTCGTTCAATGTGAAAATTTATTGTAGAAATTGTTTAGGCAACTGTATCTTTTACTGATTGTCGCCCTCGTTTGCGTCGTCATTGGCTTCGCTGCAATTGCGTGCAAATTATATCGACGAAACGTTCGAATCAGCTCATCTCCGTCAATTTCACTGACAGTTTTGAAAGATTCATAAGATTATAACATTATCAGTATAAATTGTGACCTTAAAATACTTATTTGAATCTAAAGACTCTGAATTTTTAACAAATTTAAATGAAAGTATTAAAAATTCTTATTGTTTCTGTATTCTCTTCAAGTTTATTACTACGATCATGGCTGGTCGTAAATTTCTTTCTACTGAATACAATAAATTCAATCCACATTTAAAGACTCGAATGGTCGATGTAAAATCATTGTCAATGAGAAAATTTTTTCATTCTAATGAACAGATTGTCATTATTTTTACACAGAAATAAAGAAAGATGCTTCGCATTAGTTCAACATCAAATCAACTGCATCTGGTCAAATTTATACATCGACTATCGATGCTTGTTTACGTTTTCAAACTCATAATGTCAATATAAGGTCAGTTGGCTTTTCACGATAAATCATGGAGAGTAAATATCGAAACAAATTGGACAATATCCATGCCTTGGAATTTCTGATGGAGTTTTGCAATTGCTAAAGTAATTACAAAATATAATATCAAATAACATTGGCTCAACTTGATAAATAATGGATTATTATTAAATTTAAATTGAAAATAAACAAGGAGAAGTTGATCCACGCTTTGTTGATTCAATGTAATATTTATTGAGAAACTATTGCTTCTTATTAACTAGTTGTCTTAAACTAACTTAAACTCATCATTTGTTTTCTTTAAGTTTAAGTCATTCCCAAGATTTACATTACAACAACTGTTTGTTGTAGAAAAGTTTCACAAAATGAATTTCATCCTAATTTTACTTGTAATAAGTGCTTTACTGTTAAATAGTGTAGTAATAGTGAAGGGTAGTGATGCCCAAGAACAATCCCAATTAATCATTTAATCATATTTAATTCAATTTAATTCAATTTAATTTTCATTTTGTTAAAAGCTTCTAAGCTTCAATATTTTCTTATCAAATTTAAAGTTTGTAATTTTGTGTTAATCCCTGAAAGATGACATCATTGTAATTGTTTACTGTTGTCTTAGATTCAAGGTTGTTAAGGAAAGCTTCTAAGCTTGCTTCACTTTTCCTTATCCTTTTCTTTTGTTCTTTCCTTCCGTTTAATTTGGGTATATAAGGAAGATTTAAATCTTTAATTAATTGTCTTTAGATTGTCAACTGATTTTGATTATGTTAAGTTCTGATTCTAATCATTCTTCACTCATCTTCGACTTCTAAGTCCTTTTCTTAATTCAGTTCTGATTTAATTTTATGCTTAATAAATTTCTTTGGTTTTGTAACCTTTGTGCTTTCTTGCCTTAATTTGTGCTTTGATTAGTCTGAGTTTCAATTCTAATTGTTACATCTTTAAAGTGTTTAAAGTGATGCTTGATTTGAAAGCTGCTGAACTGTTCTTGATTCTAATCATTCTGGTGCTAGAAATTCAATTCTCTTGTTTGAGTTTATTCTGGTTGAGTTTGGAAACTCGTTTTGGCGCCTGATAAATCTTTGCTTTCTAAAGCTTCTAACATTCCTGTCTAATTAGTTCAAGCTTGCTAAAGCTAACTCATCTTGGTAAAGTGTGACCAGTTAGTCCGTTTCCTGTCTTGTGACAATTTTCCTGTTTGACCAGATTTGTGGTTTCGACTATTGGTAATCTTTGGTCTTAACTGAAATTGAACTCTTTGTTTGCTCTTTGGTTTACTCTCAACAGTAATCTTATTTTGAGTTTAGAAACTCTTTGGTGATCCTAAAAGAACCTGAAACTTCAGGATTTGAAAGGCTGAAGAAATCTTCTGAGTGTAATTGAATTCTAATTCAAAGTTTAAATTAAATTAAATTTAATTGTGTTTAATTGTGCTCGTGTTTTGTAACATTTAAATATGGTAACCTTTCAAATGGCGACCACGGCAGGATTGCCATCGATTGATTCAACTCTAAAGTATGAGTATTGTTTTACTTTGCAAACGAATAATGACACAAGTCAGCCTGAAGCTCCTAAGCTATTGAAAGACCTCGATGTTCAAGAAATGAAAAGCCAGTTAAAGATATGGAAAGTCCGATTCATAGACAATGAACAAGTTATCAAACTTAAGTTTTATGATGTGGTGAAAACTCTGTTCGCGCTACACAACTTTCCTGAAGCAACGCAAAAGATCATGGAGATAACTGAACAAAAGCAACTTGTACTCTTACAATTTCCTGATTGGATGGCTGAATTGAGAGAACAGAATGTATCTGAGAAAGATCTTCGAGAGATTCTTGATCGATTTGGTTTTAAACCGAATGCAATGGTGCTAACTCCTATTAGTACTATAAAACAAATGTCTATTAGTTCTCCGGCTAAAAAGCTATTAACTATTCTTATGGAAAATTGGAATAAAACTGAAGTGCCCTGTTCCATTGGTAAAGCAGTTATTAAACCTGGTATTGATTTGGATGGTATGCTGAATTCATCTAGATCAACTCGTGGAGATATGAAGATGAAGAAA